TCACAAAATGGATATTATATTGCTTCTTGCTTCTTCCTTCCTTATAACATCTAAACCATTAATCTGTGAGTTACTTCTAAGTAACGCATGGGGGGGGAAGCTTTTTTTTTTAAAAAAAAATGATGCCTGGCTCCCTAGCTCCTTACAGCAAGTTATCTTCACCTGATTTGACAAGAACAGCTTTCAAAAAAAACCCAAGCCAAAACCAACCAAAGTAAGAAATGTTTGCAATTGGGCAGATTTGACCTTTTGACATAACTCAGAGTAATAACTATGGATTAGTTATTAACATATACACTATCTAAATCAAGTCTTCCCTATATTTCTATATTTTGGGTTTGTTTATTTTTTTTTTTTGCTGATAAATCTCTATGACAAATGGGACTTGATCTTCAAATGTGTCACTCACTACTTTGGGAGTATTTAGAGATGGAGAGTATAGTGTGCTTTGGTAGCATTAAAGCTACGTCAGTTCCTGATGAACAGCGGAATATTTATTTTTGTTTTATTCTTGAAGCTGATTCACCATCTAGTTTTCACGTGGCTCAAAATGAAACGAAGATTTTATTTTAAGAACAAAAGTCCGCACAGAGGTCCGACTGATGCTGATTTTAAACTTCAAATCAATGAAAACATTTCTAATTCTGGCGCAAATGATTTTTAAAATCAGACTTGGGGAGGTACCCGAATTCTGAATTTTGCTGGCATCTTCCAGAGTTGCCACAAATAACAATTCATGAAGATTTTTTTTGCATGCAGAGTGAAGTAGAAAACGTTGAATTTTTGGAGATTTCCTAAAGCTGGGTCCAAATTCTCCATGCTATCATTAATTAGCACATTTTTTGGTAGTTACGGAAGAGAAGTTAAATTGCCTGAGCATGCATGCAGATGTGGAAGCGGTCTCTCAGGGGGGTTTTGAACCTCAGCGGAGTATATGGAAGCTTGTCTTGGTACTTCTTATGCAGGAGCATGGAGTATGTTGAGGGTTAATAGAAGAATGAATTTCCCTGTGTCATTGGATTGACACCTTGCATTCCAAACTCACTTTATTATATGGATTTAAAAAACCTAAAAAGTTGCTGTCACTTACTAAGCACTGTGAGGTTTGGTAGTGTAATAAACAAAAGGGTTTACGAAAAAGGTTATTAAAGATCATTTGAGTGAACATTCCCATTATGTGGGGCGGGGGGGAGTCTAAAGAAGCAAGAGAGGAGCAAAGAGATTTCACCTAGAAATTGAATGAAACAAAGCAGAATGGGCAGTTTAGTGTAGGAAAGCAAAAAAACCACACAAGTGCTGTCAGGAAGACTTTAAATGCATCAGAGTTTTGAATTTCAGTAGAGGGAAGGTATATAGGGACTAATGAATAAAGTAATGCTGTATGATGTTTGAAAATACTGTTGTGGAAGTGAAGACAATTCCATTTGCTACACTGTATGCTCCATTCTATCATTATCCTGAATTTCAGAATGCATTTTGTAATGCATGTGGGTTTCCTGGTCAAAACCACTCTATAAGAACAGGGTGTTTACAGAAGCCACTTGTAGTGTTATTAATTAAAAGCATTATCTGCTGGAAAACTTCAAGAGCATTACCACAGTGCTATTTTGATTCAGCTGTAAAACTTTGCAGCAAAAGCGTTTCTAGTTTTACCCCGACTCCAGTTTTCATCTGCTTTTAACAATTTTGTGTATGACACTAAGGAAAAGAGTAGAAAGTTGCAAAAGCTGGATTTTCTCTGAAAACCCACTTCTTACCTTTCTACCGGTGTTTATTTTCAAAGTGAAAAGTCCAGAGACTTTTTAAAAGGAGTGTTATCTGCAGGCCTGGGTCTGATTTGCCATTTTAAACTCTTGCATGGTTTCAGACTTTACCTGAGCAACTCTTGACATAAATAGGAGCCTGTGAGGTCCGATTCAAACCTGGATTGGATTGTAAATTTAAAGAATGTGCCGGTGTCTTTGAAACTTTCATGATACAGTAACTCATCATGGTTAAGCCTCCACTTAGGGAAATAAGGAATGGAGGGACTGAAGCCGGTGGGGGAAGCATCACTTGTGTGCTGCCATGTTTCTGCAAATTTCGATGAATTGTGCCTTTTAGAGACCATCTCCTCTCTGGTGTCTTGCTTTTAGTGGCCAGTTGTGTGGCCAGACCAAAGAAAGAAGGTGGTGTGTGATCTGCCTCCTGCCCAAGGCTCTTAGCTTGACTGCGAAGACCCCTGACATTAACTCTGAACAAGCTGACCATATTGCCCACAGCACGTTACTGGCTCGTTGTGGTGTGGTGGCCCATCAGTCAGTGGAAAGCTGGCGCTCTCTGTCCTCTTGGGTTCGGTTTATTTGTGTGAGGTAGAGTCTGGCATGAGCTGCAAGTCTCACTATCAGCTAGCGAAATGGTGCTCGCTCTGTGGCCTTCTGTTGGGAAGTTGGCGCGTACACTGGCTCATGAGTAGAAGGAACCGGACCGTGTTCATTCATTTTCCTTTTTTCTTTTCTTCCTCTCTTCATATTCTTTCTCGTGATCTTGTACCTGTGAAAGTGCAGCTAAATACTTGGTGGAATTAAATATGTTGGCTATTGTCTCCCCTAAGAAGGGTAGGAGGGGGATTCTCTGCCCTTTCTAGGCTGCAAGATGTTCAGCTGATGAACAGCATTTCTGAAGAGTTTCATTTCCTGTCCATGCAGAAGTGACTTTCATCAGAAAATTAACACAGAATAAATTTGAAGAGCAAAGACCATTTTCTGCTTTTAGAGAGAAGAAAAATATCTATGTAATTATCTGGTCTTATTAGGCACTCAGGCATACCTTCAAGGTTCCATTGCTCAGCATAATAGATATTGTAATTTATTTGTATTTTTTTCGATTGCAAGTGGACTTGAAGTGAGCATTGTAAAGTGAAGCTGATTGCTTTTTTTTTTCAGGCAGTTGTCCAGTCTTCCTCAGCTGGTGAGAGTAGATGACTCAAAGGCTTAACAGGATATGGTGTTAGATACCTGTAGTTGACTGATTTGAATTTGGCCCAGGTTAGTAATGCTTGAAGTCATTACCATCTGTCTGTTGTTCAGTGACCTGTATAAAATTAGCTGATATTCTTAGTCCAGTTCTTAGTAGACAGGTGTCCACATCATGAAAACTGGCACCAGTATCAAGCTTGTTGGCTGTCTCAGCAGAGATTATCTGCTGACGAACAGGCAAAAAACCCAGTAATCTCCTCATTTCTGGAAGTATGTTTTTCCCTTTTCAGGGTTCAGACATGCTGATGGATGAACATACGTAGAGACAAAGGTTATTGTGTGCTGCTGTGTTTATTGTATTTGTCTTTTGGTCGAGAATGTAGCCAATGTGTTTGAATTCTACATTAATTTTTTAAAAATGCCCTACCTAGCTGTTCTGGCTTCCTAGCAGAAATCTTACATATAGCAGGTGTCCTCAGCTGTTCTTTCTGATAGAATGAAACAAGAGAACATGCTTCATATGGTGGCTTTTTTTTCTGTTTTTTTTTTTTTCTTCACTTAAAAGATGTCAACCCTACTCAGGCAGCAAGAATTTGGAAAGAGAAATCACCAAATCTTTCACATGTAGTTATATTTAAAAAAAAAAAAAATCTGTAGCAACTCTTTTTTTTTTTTTTTTTAGATGTAGCTGTAGGAACTGATGTAATATAATTTCATGTAGTTTATGTTTCCCGGGACTGATCTCATAATAGCAGCAATAACAGCACTTAGCATTTAAATTGTACTCTGTATGTTGAAACCTTTGTACAGCCTTGTTTGCTAACGTTCCCGGTTGGTTGCGTGACTCTTGATGGCAAAATTTGCAGTATACAGAAAGCCTGTGCCGGATTTGACTGTTTACATACAGTGGAGGTCTCTGCAGTGACAGTTGCCTATGGAGACGCGGGGATAATGGAGCCCAAAGTCTTTCGCTGGGAGCCGTGCTGCAGTTCAACCCATATGTTGGCATAAAATGCATGGGAGAGCTGTCTTATGTTCCCCCTTCGCGGGGTTAGGGCCTGGCATCGCTTCTTCAGCCCACATGTAACATCTCTCTCTAACACCGAACTATTCTGGCTTTTTTGCAGGGGTTGCGTTTAATCCTGCCTGAGCTTCTTTAAAGTATATTATCTTGCAAGCAGTGATTCAGACTTAACTGTTCCCACTGCAGTGTGTAGGACTCTCCTCCTATTTCATTGACATAAAAATACACACCAGTATGTTATAAATAGTTCTTCAGTATTCCCAAAGATTTGTGGTGGATAGATGCTTGCTGAACATCCATTGAGGGATAAGACCAAATGGTCATATTTAAAGTTAATTGGCCTTCTTACAACTCGCTGCTTTTTATTGCCAGTAATCGAGTGTTAAGGCTTCTAATAGGATCTTCTGCTTGCAGAGCCTGAGTTGATTAAGTGGTGCAACATGTTCATTTCCGAGGGCTGCTTAAATCACCAGTAAAAAAGTAGGTTAGGTGACTACAGATCACCTCCTCATTGTCAGGAATTCCCACGATTAATAATAGTTTAAAAAAAAAAAAAAAAAAAAGAAAAAAAGAAGTATGACTCACTATTTGTACCCCCGCTATTGTCATCAACCGGAGTTATGTTTTCTTCTAGAACAAGGAGAACAAGGCATAGGTTTTGGTGTCGCCATAGATACTCCCGGGTTGGTATTAAGTACTGGGATGTGCTAGAAAATCCAAGATTTGGCCTTAACAGTTGTGAGCTGACAATGTAGGTGGAAGACGTGGAGCACGACAGGGCTGCAATTGGAGAAAGGCATTAGTGAGATAATCATCTTCACTGTCCGTTGCTGCTGTCTTCACTCCTACCAAACGTTTTAATGTTTGACCAAGGTTTTGGATGAAAAGCAGGGATTTGCACGTCAGTACTAGCTGGGTAACTGTTACGATGCCTAAAATATTTCATTTCAGATTCATCTGCCATTTTCTAGTGGCTTAAAATGTGATTTTAACATTTGTTTTGTCACTGTACTGCCATCATGTCGGGCAAGCAACCAAAAGTAAACTTTAATTTCAACCTTATTTTGTGGCTTCATTATTGTCTGAGAATTCCTGCTTCTTTCTTTCTCATGGGTTCTAATAACTACAGGTTTGAGAGCAGAATAGCAGTTTCTGAAGAGTGAACTCAAGCATAATTTTAGTCCTATACTGCTGCTGCTATAGGATTTCTAATAGCATTAAATTGTAGGCTTGCTGATTTGGAGATTAGCTTCTAGGTCTTAGCTCTCCCCTTTTTCTGAGCAACTCCAAAAAATAAACTTGCAAAAAAATCTCTGAACCCTTACTGCTGGTGAAGCTGTTATCATTTAATAAAACAAAAGAAATCAATGCCTGAGGAGAAACAGCTCATGCCTGTGGGGAAAAATCTGTCCCTTTGCCTAATTTGATATGATTATAAAATTACAGTGTTCTGAGAGCTAAGGAAAAGAAGATATTGCCAGAGGAAAGTAGTTAAAGGTTTGGGGGTTTGTTTTTGTTTTTGGGTTGTTTTTTTTTTTTTTGAGGAATATACCTATTTGGTTTCTTAGAACTAACAAATAAAGCCGTTCTGAAAGGGATTCAAGAACTGAGTAGAATATTCAGTTTACTCTTATTACTGAGTAACAGAGCCTAATTCCTACATTTTCTTATTAGAGCTATGTGGGAAAATGCTTTCTTCATTTCTATAGAACTTTGATTTCAGAAACAATTCAAGTTCAGGTGGAATAAATATTTCTGTATTTAAACCAACCCTAGATAAATTATAGTCGTGTGATTATGGGAGGTCAGATATGATTGGATCTCTTCTATTTCAGTATGCAATTATGATTGTGCTGTTCTCCCCTATTTTCTAACGCTGCAGATGAATGTCTTCACTTCTAGTATCTTGACAGGTCTAGTAAGACTTTTCCAATCTCTTGGAGCTCTTCTGCTCTCCAGAAATAATTATACTCAAGAAATATCACGGAACTACATTGTAAGAAGAAGAAGTGCTCTCACCACTCGTGGATTTCCCTGAACTAATGAACATGTCGTTATTTGTGAAAAGGGAAGCAGCTTCCAATTGACATGTTTAGAGAACAACCCATTGCAAAACAAACAGTCTGGTGTGAAAGTGTGTTATTTGGAACTTGGGAGTTTCTTCTTAAGAACTTTTCAAGACAGACATGACAAACTATTCAACTTTCCAGGGACTGCTGAGCTACCAAATGTTGTAGGGTGAATTTTATTTAGATTTTATCTTGAAAAAATGTCCTTCTGTGAAACTGTTAACTTCCAGCAAAGTCGGGTTTTTTGACATTTAGCTGAAAAATTCTTAGCTGTTCTTCTCTACATAACTTGCAAACTGTTTAGTGAAATAATTTTGCATGGCTTTATTTTACTTTTTTTCACGGTTTGACACTTATTCTAGGTGCAAGAAGTATAGGTTCCCTGTTTTCCCGTTGCTTATTTCTTTTTTTCCTTTTAACATTTGATTCAAAGTGACATCTGTGAACAGTGATTTTTTTTAAATTTTTTTTTCATTTGCAAGAGGGGTATTTCTTTGCTGGAGAACTGCTGCTAACAGTCTTAAGTCTTTCCTCCTTTCATTTTTAGATTGCAAATACTATGATAAAACCTGAATTAACAGATTCAAGTCCCTTATCCTCTTTAGAAATTTGAGTTGTAGGGGTTTAGAAACTATGGTTGTGAATTTGTAGATCATGCTTTTTTTTTTTTTTAACAGATAATGTTTGGTAAGACCGTCAGTAGATTCTCTTTTTTTTTTTTTTTTTTAATTTGTGATGTGAGTTAATTACCTGAATTAAGCTGTTAGCTAGTGCTTTGATCACAGAATCATCATAGTAACTGGCAATGATTAGCAGCTTTCGAGCCTTTTACATTGGGAACAGACCTAAATCCCAGTGAAATTAGTTAGTGCGTGTGTTCTTTGGTTTAAGAGGAACTGTAGCGCAAATGCCCATCTGAAATGTCAAGGTGTTTTGTCCCGTAGTAAAGGAAATGATACGTTACAACAAAACTGCTTTCTCTGATGGTTGCTCTGTGGTACCCAGCTGCGAGAGTGCGAGACCTCCGCAGGGTGCACTGTTTTGAACAGTGTCCTAAGTATCACTAGTTCCTTCAAGACAGGCTTTGTAGTAGCATCTGGACCTAGGTTCAGCCCCTCAAAAATGCTTCGATGTCCCACTTTTGTTTTGATTGTTAGTATTAAAGCACTTAGGTACATCTCAGGATATGGATGCAGTTCTTGATACTTGCAGTACTAAATTGCCCAGTACATGGCATGCTAATATCTGTGGTCCAGTTATTACTGGTAGGACTGAATGTTAGTAATAAATGCCTCGGGGAACGTGGATTTCCTGAATTCAGTGCTTGTTGTTAATTAGCATGGTGTTTTTAGTGAGCCTTTTAATTTTTTGGCATGTTTTCTTATCCGTTGAGTCAACATTGGCTTTCAGAATGGGGATTTGCATGGAAATGCTGCTTTTGATTTACTTATGTGGTAAAGGTAATTGAGCGGTGCTTGTTATTAGTGACTTATCTGAAATGACCTGTATTTGCATTTTGCTCTCGCTTGTCCACAGAACCCTCAAAGCGATAACTGTTCACACACGAGGATCATTTATGGGAATTGTTGACCTGCAAAATTCAAATGTTCTTGCTCACTTTCTTTGCATACATTAGGTCCTGTTACTGAAGTCAAAACAGATATATATGTCACCAGTTTTGGACCTGTTTCTGATGTAGAAATGGTATGTATTTCTGGGATTAAAATGCCATTTCCTGGTTCTTAGAAACCATGAACTGCAGTAAGGAGTGGATGCTTCATCTGTACTGTTCTGTCACTCATGCAAAGTAGACAAGATTAGTAACAGCTTAATTTGCAGGTTATAATTAGATACATCAGGCCTGATTCTGGTCACACTTTCAGTGTTTTTTGCCTGGCTTAAGGAATTAGCTTTGTAGGACTTAAAACAGACTTCCATGGTATGGAGGCAGAATCAGGCCTTCTGGGGAGCATCTAAGTCAGTCTACTGTGGGGAAAACGTGTAATATCTTTGAAATGGCCTTTTCTTTCTGAAACCTGTGTTATTCTCAGGTGAATAATAATGACATCATTTCACAAATACTTGTTGACGTTTTCATTTCAGATGAATGCCCTTTGCTGATCTTTGTGCCTCTTTTAGCATCACTTTCAGTAAATGTTTGACTGATAAGAGTTTTCATAAGTGTCTGCAGAAATTGAATGTCAAAGTGACGTGCGTGAAATAGTCACAGAAGAGAAACGTTACATTTGCACGTACTGTTATTTGTGCCTGAATGGCATCTGCATTCATTTGAGGTCAAATCCAGCATAACTCTCATCAACTTCTATAATGTAGTGGTATACCCTACCCTTAAATCACACAATAGTTTCTCTTTTTATAAAATATCCAAGAAATCACATGGAAGTAACACAGCCATATGTGCTGAACTGAACTTCTTTAAGGGAAAGGCAGTTTCAGGGCAGTAACGTTCTTCCCATACAGTGTTGTCGTGCACTTTGTGGTGCACCTAATACGGTTCTATCATGTGGAAAAGTACGTGACAGCAAGATATTTTTTCAAGGGCTATAGATTCGTGACAGCAGTCTCGTGTTGAAATGCATCTTACCCCTTCAATGGTTGTCATGTACAGTGTGATGCTTTTCATTGTGACAAGGGGTGCAAGAAGCTGGTCCCAAGGAAATCTAGTAATGTGTGCCTCAAATCTAAAATGAGGGCTACACGGCATCTCTCAGGTTTCGTTGAAGCATTTGACATGGTGCCACATGGGAAATTATTAGTTATGTCAGAGAAGGCAGGAGTGAGAACATGGACTGAAGATAGGTAAGGAACTGGCAAAAATAGAGTTTACAGGAGATGTTTCCCCTTTCATCATCAGGGGTTAGGAGGCTATTCAGGGATCTAGGAATTGGTTTCGGAATGAATTTTAGTTAATATATCCATTAGTGACCCAATGTAATCTGAATGTGGCTGCTCATAAAACTCGCTGAAACAGCAAATTGTGATGTAGTCTCAGTACAGGGGATGACGAGAATGTCTTTTTAGAGCTGGGTTACTTTAGTACCCAGTGGAATGAAAAGGGTTGAAATCTCATATTACAAAATCTGTCACGTAGAAGCTAATAACAGAAACTGCTAGTTAAGAGCTACGAAGTCACCAGCAAGAAATGACAGTAGAAAAGAGACTTTTCATAGATTACCTATAAACCACAGTGGAGGATGCAGTCATGGAAAAGCAGACAGATAGAATTCTAAGATGCATTACACTAGTAGACATGCCTCCTTGCCCGTGCGAATAGACATGGCCATACAAGTAGTTTCAATGGTAACATTATGCAGAAGAGCTTGAAATAAAGTCAGAAAACATTGTTTGGCTTAACAACAAAATTACCACTGTAAATTAGAAAGGACTTAAAGCTTTCTGTGTTACCTTTTCCAATGCCCCGTGATGCTTTTTCTGTGAAATGCTTTAGCTTCCAGAGATGAGAAACACATTCCTTCGTCCATTCATTCACATATGATTTCTCATGATGTGCTTGTGTCTGCAGTTCTGCCATTGTTTGCATGTCTTCTCTGGAGCATCTGAATGGGTTTTCTGAGGAAATTAATGGGGTAGTTAACATAGTTAAAAACAACTGTGTATATATGCACATTTGTCCATGTTTTGTGGGCTTAGCAAAAGAAACATTTAGCTTTCTTCACTTAAAAAGAAAAAAAGCTTGCTTTCCATCAGTTGAAATTATATTTTCTTTTCTGGCTTTAAAATGGAAATAATCGTTTGTCCTGATATTTTTAATGTAGCCAGCAGCATAAAATTCATGGATATCTTTTCTTTAAAAATCTGTTGACACTTATTGTCAGAGATCATTTTGCTTCCAGTTATATGCTTGACTATAAATTCAATTGCCTGCTTCCTGCAACCTAATTAGATTAATTAGTCCTTAATGATTAAATATGTGTAGCAATTTATTGATATGACTAATGTGAGAAATTAAGCTATTAAGAAGTACACAACACAGTTTAATTGGTGGAAACATATTTGTGTAGTGGACTTAGCGTTTTCTTTACTACTGATTGCTTTGCTCCTGAGGGATTTCTGTTTTTTTTTACAGGCGACACTTATACATGCAAATGTGATCTTTGTTTTTCTGCAATTTAATACAGGAGTATACAATGGATGTCTTCTTCCGTCAGACATGGGTAGACAAAAGATTAAAATATGATGGCCCTATTGAAATTTTAAGGCTTAACAACTTGATGGTTTCGAAGGTGTGGACTCCTGACACTTTCTTCAGGAATGGGAAAAAATCGGTTGCACATAATATGACAGCCCCAAATAAACTCTTCAGAATAATGAGAAATGGCACCATCCTGTACACAATGAGGTATCTAACTTGTTTGTTCAGCTTCTTACAATTACTGTATGCAAAAAGTTATACTGCCTAGACAAAATGGCAACCAGAGACTATTTAATTTGTTCCATTATAGGCTTACAATAAGTGCAGAGTGTCCCATGAGATTAGTGGATTTTCCCATGGATGGTCATGCTTGTCCTCTCAAATTTGGGAGTTGTAAGTTGCAATTATGAAATTTCTTGTAACTACGGAATTTAAATAGTAGAAGTAGATTTTGAACAATTACTGAACTTTCTGAATATTAGTCTTGATACACAATCCTTATGCAGACAAAACTCCTGTTAAGTTCTGGGAATTTTATTTAGGGCCTGAAAAATTAAACCCAGGCAGAGAATTGAAAAGCAAACAGTGATTGAGCTGTTATGTTAAACATGTTAAACCCCACTATTCTGGCTACACAGTTGCTTGAACTACATAGTTTTTCTTGGTTCTTAGGGAGGAATTGGATAGTCAGTGCAGTGAGAGATTCTCTGGAGAAGGCAAAGAGGGTGGGATCCATGTCACCTTCCAACAGCCAGGCAAGCTGGGAAGCAGGTTATCTGACTTTCTCTACAGGGAGGCACATTGAAGTCCTGTTAGATGTGTAGGTTATGATCAAAGATTTGACCTTTCATTGTATTTGTCTGTCTCCCAACTCCTGGCCTATAATGGGAGTCTGCATGGCAACTTTAGTCTAGATAAATAATTTTTAGACTGGTGAGAAGAATCTTAGTGCTGGTGACTTTCCTTTTCGGCTTTGAAATCAGATGTAGATTTTTGGATAATCTCCAAACTTTGGCTAGAAGGAACATTTTGGGACATACTGCATAATGACCAAGGGAGGTAGTTACAATTCCCTGGTTTGAATCCACAGCAGAGACCTCTGAGACCACCTGGGGATGGTTGATGCGCTCTGTTAACTATCTGATCACTTTTCTAAGCCCCCTCAGTTGCTGACTTCTCTGCTCTACACTCAGATGTAGTCAGTAGCTGGACATTAATCTGCTTTCCTTGACCCCAGAGCTCTGAAGTTAGAAATGGCTGGAAGCTACTCATAGTCTTTCCTTAGCATAAATTTAGCTTATACAGCTGGGTAGTCAACCAAAGGGTGATATTACAGGCACTGCTTGGATAAGGATTTTCATCCCCGTTAGAGTGAGACGGGAGACCAGGTGCTGCCAGAATTGGGTTTGGTATCAGCTGTACGTTAGGGGAGCTTCAATAGTGGGGGCTTCTCCACAGGCATAGTTCATCAGGCTGAATCACCAACCAGCAGAAATTACACTTCACACTAATCCGATGCCTTCCCCAGTGAAACTTGAAATAAGACCTGGCCATTTCAAATGCAAGACTGATTTAATTTAATTTTAACAGGAGTTTGGGCTGTGTAGGGATTGAATGCTAGCCCTACGATGTGTCTTTTGTACTAAATGTAAAGTGTTTCTTTGGTTGTGCTTATTTTTGGGCTGTTGTGAATCTTCTACTGACCTCTGGTTACTGACAAATATTTTAAACATAAGTTTAAAATATTATAGATTTTAGTATAGTATAATTTTTAGTATAATCAATATTTTCTGTAAAGAAATGTGAGCCCAGTCTCCAAAATGTATCTTCCTTATACATGCTTTTTTATAGATTACAATATTTCAATGATAAAACTTTAGACAGAAATTGCTAGAACAATTTAAAGATAAACTTTATGTGCTCAATAAGGGCTGATCCAGGAAGAACTCATGTTTAGACTTCACGTGCAAATGTGAAGCGAATTTGTGTGTGACACTTGACATATGACCTTAGCTGCTCTTTGTTCTCCTCCGGGGGTGGCTGTTGGGGGTAACTTAACATGAAGGGTATCTTCTAAAAAGCCGTTAGCGTGAGTCTTGCTGTTTGATTTCAGTAGGTTTGGAGTGTGCTCTTAGTAGGGTATGAGAAGTTTCCTATTTATGCAAACTGATGCTGTGTTGTAGATGCTTATCCAAAGAGTGAAATGATTTATACCTGGACAAAAGGACCTGAGAAGTCAGTGGAAGTTCCTGAGGAGTCTTCCAGTTTAGTTCAGTATGACCTGCTTGGGCATACGGTATCCACTGAAACCATTAAATCTATCACAGGTAGGAATCTCGTCAGTAAAAATCAACCTGAGGTAAAACTAACCCTGTAACATTGCCCCAGGCTTTTTTCTTCCTTTCCTGTAAGGTGTTCTACTGAATGTCATAGGGTATATACGAAGGGCTGAGAGCATACATCTGAATTAGGTTTCTCTCCTTCAGATTTACATTTGCAGATTCATTACAGTAGATTGCGACGGTCTTTCAGAAAGCTAGAATGAGATCATTACTCCGAGGGACAAAATGAGCATTTAATCACTGCTTAAAATGCAGTTTGAAGAGTCAAGAGGATGCCTGGGTGAGGAAGTAATTTCTCAGCACTGTATCCACATTATGTGCAAAAGACTTCCTTTGTTTGGCGGTGCAAACAGCTCGGGATAGAAGTACAGCATACAGAATGGGTTATTAAAGCCATAAAAACCCTCTAGTCAGATAAGGATAGGCACAAATGCATTAGTCACAATAGATACTTCTGCTGATTTGCGCTGTAAGAAATAAGGCAAATGGCAACTACAGGCATCCGAAATGAGTGAAGTATCACTGATGAGCAGCGTGGTGATAAACAAGCATATTCCCAAAATATTTTTAAAATTTGGAATCATTTTCTAAGCATCAGCAAGTTTGCGTGTTGCGAGATGGTCAAAATGAAACAGATAAAGCAGATATATTTGATGTATTCTGTGATTCTCAAAGATAAAGCAGCATTTTGCAATACACCAGAAATTTGCATCTCAGCATATTGATTATTATGAGTTAACAACCGACTTTCCTTACTATCCCCACAATGCTCATTCTGTAGCGCTTTATTTAGACAGTTTATTCAGTTTATGGTAGAACTGCGATTTTTTTGTTTGTTTGTTTAATATGAACGATAATATTTTAGATAAACTTACAGCATTTTTAATTCTTGCCAATGATTTTTGCATTTGTTTCATTATCTTAGCGATGCTGATGTATAAACCTAGTAAAAAGCTGAGATGCTTCCATGTAATTTAATGAGCATTATTGTTCTTATTATTTGGCAGGTAGGTACCACAATGTTCTGGATGCTATGGTAGGTAGATAGCTTGTGTCTTGGGAGTCTCCTCTTCAACAGATACCAAAATAATTTTTAAAATTGTATTTATGCTGTAAAAAGTGGACCAGTATTAGCTGTACATTTATAGTATTTTTGATAGCAGCTTCTGAACGGCATTGTAAGGACCTACTACTACAGGAATTTTTTGTTTAAAACCTTGTTTCTTTCTTGTCTCTAAGGAACATGTCTTTCTATACACATTAAGTGGTATGAATAGCGTCATCTTAAACAATCCTAGTTGATAATCTGAAACAGATATTCTGCAACACAAAAATTTTATGCACAGCTAGAAAATTTTTTTCTGTTCTCTTTTTTTTTTTTTTAGGTGAATATATTGTTATGACAGTTTACTTCCACCTGAGACGGAAAATGGGTTATTTTATGATTCAGACCTATATCCCATGCATTATGACCGTGATCCTTTCTCAAGTTTCATTTTGGATAAATAAGGAGTCCGTTCCAGCTAGAACTGTGTTTGGTAATTATTTCTTCTTTGCTTTTTCTCATACTTCATCTTTTAATGACTTTCACTAGAATAGGCCTTTTTAGGGCTTGGGGTCTACTGCGGCTGTGCTAGTGCAGAAACAAGGGAATAAAGTAAATTCAGAGGAATTTTTGCTGTCAATGTATGAAGAATGTATTATGTGAATCCTCGGAATCTGAAGAGAAACTTGGAATATTTAACCAGAAGGGTGACATGGTTGCCTGTAGCACATGGACGTACATCTGTGGGTATTCCACCTGCGTGGGGAACAAATTGGGAAGACCTGTCCCTGAATAATCCAGTCAAGTCCTTAGCCTACTTCCAGTGCTGTTTTATCCTCCAGTGGACAGTAGTGTAATTACTTGAACTCGCACCTTCTAAAATCCTTTAAAAATCATTTGATTGGGAGTGCATGAGATGTATAGATGTCTTCTTACAAAATATCTGTGTCATCAGTGGAAGTTTGGTATGAGTAAGGCTTAGATCCTGTTACTGTAATTTTGTGTTTAGTGCTCTTCTCTCCTTTCTGCTCTTGCCATTATGAAAATGAATTCAAAAACCAAAATGATCGCAAGATATTAAAATTGCCCTCATCAAAATACAGCTTGAATGAGATGCTACAGTGAACTCTGAAAATAAAAAACAAAAAAGCTTCTATGCAAGACAAAGCATAAGAAATTAAATGGAAATATGATTCCTAAGAAAGAAGTTGGATAAAAACACTTTTAAAAGCAGTTTTTATAGAGCAATGTCTTGACTTTATAATGTACTGTAGTCTAAAGCAGGACTAATCAGGAAGAGAATGTTCTACAAAAAGCCTTTCTATAGATAGAGAGATTCTGGCAAGAGTGATGGGAATTAATGTTTCTACGTGACGGCCCATTCAGACATGTAACTAGAGTCTGAACACTGTTTAGTACTGCAAAGTAGACACGGTTAATGATTAGTTATAGGAAACTAACCTGTAAACCTAATAAGGACCCCACTAGCTCTCAACTCAAGCACTACATTAGGCAAACTAGTATATCACTGCACATGCCTTTGCAGTGATGTTGAATAATGGTACTTTTCTGAAGAGAGTATTGCCAGGAACTGGAAAGGTAGAATTGGTATTTACAGGGAAAATGTGACAGTTGAAAATGTGCAAATTATAGAGCAATACGTGTAATATGTGTCATTATATCCATATATGAAACTGAAAACAAGTAATAATAATAAAGTTTGGACATCCACTAAATTACAGATAAGTCTCTAAAACGTCTTTGAAAGCAAGCAGCTTAAAGTATGGCTAAAAGTATCTCTCTACTTTTCTGACAAATTCCAAAGGGACCCTGTTTTCTAAAGGTTTTCTTAAAAGAAGATAGAAGTGTTGCAGGGCAAGCGATAGGAATGAAGCGAGAATACCTGCTATGGTCCCAGCTTTCTAGAGGAACTGTGAGAAGAGACTAACCAAAAGATCTTTCCACTGGACGCTGCATGATTAGGGAAAACTTGGCAGGTTGTGATTTCTGTAGTCGGAGATCTGCAGAAATCTGCTGATTGTGGAAGCATTTCTTAGAGGAAAGACCGTAGTAATTTCCAAACATGTTTATAAAATTAATTTTTATATTAACATGCTCTTAATATATTTTTATATGGTTACACGCATTTCTAGTCGTAAGCTTGCAAGTATGTAGCTCTAGGTAATTACAGTTCATGTGTATATATAATATTTTTTACCAGAACTTAGTTCCCTACCCTGTAAATCCCTATGGCACGTATCCAAGGGCAGTTACAGTGGTAACTGCAAGTCTCCCAGAAGAATTATTTAATAGGGGAAAAAATGATAAAGACTATGGCACTAAACTCTAATACTATCAAGGCCTCCCTTCTCCTTGTATTTCGGGAATGTTTGGTCATTCAAGTCACTTCACCCTATTCTTGTGTCTATAAAAAATGTCTTTAAAAAGACAATTCAGACAAAAAGTGGACAAAGGTAGAATCAGGAAGGATAGGATGAATCAGGGATGGGTCTCTTTCAGGAAAAAATAGCTTTACATATTTTTTTTTCTCAGATTTTAAGATTTTCAGTGGTGTGTTTTTTCAACACCTTCCCACTGGAGAAGGTTTTGTGAGCTTGCATCTGTGTTTTTATCCTGCTGGGTTTGCTCTGAGATATTCTTTGTGCTTTTATGAACTGGTTGTTATCTTTTTTCTTCTGTAATAGGAGAGACTGGTTTCATTGTGTCCTGTTCTCTATATGGCAGTGCCTAGGTGAAGCTTTTTCATATTAGATTACCCAGATAGGATAGCATCATTTAGGTAATAGTGGATGTGAGGATCCTGTTGAAAAACGTGCTCTTAATTATTTAGAATTCTTCTCAGCATATGCATCTCATCTTGAATTAAAATGGGTACAGTGTTCTTTACATGAGAGTAAAGACACCTCCATTTGTAGTCAGTCTTCCTTGAGGTTATAATGGTAGGACTTAAGCACTGTTCACTATATACTCAATATTTTAGATTTGTATAATATGGGATATTTTGGATAAAAAAAGAAAAAAAAAAGCCATACCTTGATTTTATACAGCACATATTTGCATTTGAAGTATTACCATGAAGTGGTCATATTTTGAGCTCAGTGTTCATGCTTGTACACTTTAATTAAAATGTTGTTCTTTGAGAAGATGAAATTCTAATTAAATTTCATCGGTCAACTAGTAGCAGAAGGATTTAAAAGATAAGGTGATGGTTTACTAATTAACGGAGTTGGTAACATAATATTCTAGTTTTCTTTAGCACCAAAATAATTTGCCATGACTTAATGGCACCTGAATTACGAGTGGGATCAGAGGAACAGATGCAGAGTAATAGGGGGGATTCTGAACCCATTACAGGAAAAATCATGTTTTTGCTACAGTATGAGGAGCACTCCCCTATTTAACAACTGAAAGTACGTTCAAGTGTTTGGAAAATAACTTGTAAGAAATTATACTGAACTTGGACATGATAAAAATATGAAATGAAGGCTTCCACGTTTTCTTCATGTGAACTGTAGATGATCTGCTGAAGTCATGGCTTCCATGCCTCCTTTGAAAACTGCTTAACTGTTTGGTGTGCATAGCTGCTCATAGATACATGATGGTTGCCATGACTTAAATCTAATGTGCTATTCACAAGCAGAAGAGAAAGACTCCTAAGTGGTTTAAAACTCTTTGAAGCTGCTTGCCTATTCTCCCTTTGTTTTACTCGGATTCAGCAGTCCTTTTGCTTTATTTCTTTGAAGGAATAACCACAGTGTTAACAATGACGACGCTGAGCATCAGTGCAAGACATTCATTGCCAAAAGTATCCTATGCTACTGCCATGGACTGGTTCATAGCGGTCTGCTTTGCCTTTGTGTTCTCTGCTCTCATCGAGTTTGCTGCTGTCAACTATTTTACTAATATTCAAATGGAAAAAGCCAAAAGGAAGACAGTAAAATCCCTCCTTGAATTTCCAGTTGCTCCAGTACAAAGAGAAAGAAGTACAGAAGAGACACTTACGGTATGTTTTCAGTTTATACAAATATTTTCCATCTTTTTGTGGTCTTTCTCAGTAAAAGCAGGCTTGTAACTTCCTCTCAGGCTCCCTCTGAGCTAACAATGCAGTGTTAAGTCAGTATAATGGAATGCTACACTATATTCAATGATAAAATCCTTTAAAACATTATTTAATTTTTACTTGCAGCATTGGATTAACTTGGGGAGAGGAGGAGGCTTGTGTCCATCCATACCTGCAGTCTCTTCTATATTTAGTTGTGTTTTGGTGAAGGTTGGTTAGGATGGGTATTTTTAGGAAACCCTTTCCCTTTGCATGTTGATTCTGATTGGACTGATTATACAGACCACGATATTATGGATTGTAAGGGCAGCGTGTTATCTTAAGTGGCTAATGTCTTTAATGAATTAAAATATGCAGTTGTACCTTGGAGCATTTCCCTGGACATCACAGTTCTTTCATTGCATGTATCACCGATCTGGAGTTCTATTTCTTCATCAGGAGTTTTTTAAGAATGCTGGGTGAACCCTTTGTGTCCACCATAGATTTCATTTTTATGTAGTTTAAGTATCTTTGCACAGGAGCTCACTTCAACTCCTGAGCAAGTTTTGGGGCTCTGTTTAACAAAATGCTTTCCGTCTTTCATAGTGCTTCGGATTAAGGGTGACCCGTGTGGTAGCTATCTTAGTGCGTGGACCAGTCAATAAAGGCTCGATCTCATTTCCAGTTGAGGTCACCAGTGATTCTCCTTTCTTCCCTTTTCCCATTCCCATATGCCTACTCTCTGCTGCACCACTCCTTCTATTCACGAGACACCTGGCTAACACAGTCATTACAGCACTTGGACTGGCCATGTGGTAGGCCAGTAATTCCCAGCCACGGCTGACTCTTGGCAACACCAATCGAGAAGTAAGATGCTGACAGCAGCGTTGTAATTTACTCTTCCTGTCAGGCTGACTTGGTAATTTCCTTTGGCTGAGCCATGATTTAAGAACCGCTGTTTTAGACTAACTCTTGGTAATTTTGTCTTCTGTCTCTCTTCACATCTCGTTTGTCTCTTTCCC